CATCTGGTTTCTTATCACGTAGACCTAGAAGTCATTATAAAAAGACTATATGCTCGTAGAACCAAGTACAATATCTCAACGACAGCGTATTTCGACCGCGTTCTATGTGTATAACAGAGATAGTGTTAAGCGGGAAACTTACAAATTACTATGTGTAATCAGCAGAGTAAATGTCTCTTTTATCTTCTCTTATTTCTAATTTATTGTGATACTATCTCACTTATTTTGTAATTTTATTTATAAACACTACTATTATTATCATCATCATCAGTTTACACTTTTTCTACATATCTGACTTAACTGGTACTGCTAAAGGCCAAAAGGCTGTTATCATCAATTTTGGTGACCTATACCTTGTAGTATAGATTCTTTTTTTGTGTGTTTGTTGTTGTTTTGATGATACTAGATGCAACGTTGTACGAGATGTTGAGAATTCCACGTTGTATCATAATCAAATCACTATGATGATTATTATCATATTTTTTTACAAATATGCTGGGTTTTCATGTTTACCTTGTCTCACTACCTTGATCTGAATTAATAAGCGGACTCCTCTAGCAGGTCATTGGTGTATTCGCTCTTCTCGGTTGCTATTCTTTATTTTGGTCAGGGATAAAATCGTATTCATCAAATCTAATTATAGTGAACTGATGATAAATGTTCACTGGAGATATTTATAGACTATTTAACGAGAAAATGGTGACTTTTGAGTAGTATTGATTATGATTCAAGAATACTGTGAATAATAGATCAGATCAACTGAAAAAAAAAACTTTCAGTGCTTCAGAAATACACATCAATTGCTCAATCAGACTGATACTGTGTGGACACAGTGCACTGAAGATGAATTACCCAAAATGGCCAAATCAATGTATGGAAAAAAATTCAACTGCACCTACGGAGCTAGTTATGTAGATCGAACTCACAGAAATTTATTTTTACGCACTCATTAAACATGTTCCCATTTCGGCCTGGTAAAAGACTAGCTATAAATCAATCAATAGTGACATTTTATCTCATACAGTGGATAAGGAACACTAACATCAAAATAGATGAGTTATTTACGACTGTGTGTCGAGTACTGAAAAATCTGCTGACAGGTATACGATTACATATCTTAGCCATAACTGAAGCCAGAGTGGTTTATAAGAAGCAACCTGACTGATGTGTGAAGAAAAAAGTACATTCATCCTCTTTGTTTACTCTGGTCTACGATAAGATCATTACAGCAACATTATCAACAGATATATTTTCATCGTATAATATTTATGTCCTTCTTGTTGCCCTTTTACCTAGTTCACTTCACCCGGTTATTATCCTTATTATGTGTCAACTTTTGTAATTTATTATTATTCATTGATTATTTTATTCCTTTACATTTTGAGACGAATACACGGAGGGCTTCAAGGAATAGCTTTATAGTTCCAGTAACAATTGTTTTATTTTTACGAGGATGGATGGTTTGCTAGTCTCATGCACAATCTTTCCTCTTTACCAGCCTTACTACTGGCTCAGAGAAGTTTAGGAGTGGATCGGCCGGACCAGGTGACACATGGTTGGCGAGTGTGCTCACCACTAAATCACCAACGCACAACTTTTGTCATTTACACTAAGTTTATCATATCTCTAGAATTTTATTACATTCCACAATTTAACCTCTTTATTTTATCAGTACACTTGTTATCCTAACAGCTGTTGAACTTACATCCAGTGTTCCACGTTTATTGGCATGTCTTTCTATGTCTTTTGTAGTAATCACATTACTGTCACATCATTGGATATAACTCACCACCACCCCTCCTCAATGAAACTTATATTCTGTTGACCATATGTATATTAGCAGGTCACCCAGTTGTCTACTTATACTTTATTCCACTTTGATTGACTGTACATTTTATATATACATTCAATTGACAGTGTCAATTAACGGATTATCATTCCATGATATACATGTAACCCAACAATACAGTTTTCTGATATAATTTTCCTTTACCTTTACTGGCTATTTGTCCTCTAATATATTCATGGATTTATAAATGCAGTTATTTTTACGAGTTGATCATGGATTGATATCAGTTAGAGAACCATTGAAAACCAGCCACATGGAGTACTGGACAGCTGTTTCATCCTAGTCTGGGAATCATCGTCAGTACGCATCCACCACCACAAGGCGACCAACTATAGAAAATTAATCTAATGGTCGCTGGTGAATTAATACAGGACGGAGTTCCCTGAAGTTCTAGTGAGAAGTCGTGACCAGTGAGGTCCACCCAGATGTCACGTGTGAGGATGGATGTCCCACCGACGACATTGGTTGGTGGTCGCGCTAAATCACAAATTGGTAGAAGTTAGAGTTCATGCACTGGCTGGCCATTGGAATCGGGTCCCAGTGGCTGAATGGTATACGAGCTAGCTCGCCTTGTAACAAGAAGGTCCTGGGCTCTAACCGTGGTGGTGAGTGCGTGCTGCCGACGATTCCCAAACTGGGATGAACTAGCTGTCCAGTACTCCATGTCGCTGGTTTTCAATTGTTCTCTAACTGATATCAATCCGTGATCAACTCGTAAAAACAAAACTAACTCTTACAAACCAACTATAGAAAATGCAGTTACTAAAAACAATTGTTTGCTCAAAACATCATCTTTTCTGATATATATACATATATATATGCATATATTGAGGCTCACATGTTTACTACACTGCTAAAAATACAAAAAATGTTATCATTTCCCAGTTGCGGCATCGCCAAGGCGATCAACAACACCACCAACTACTACTCTAATGATGATTAACTATAACTTGCTTAAAATAGATGTCGAAAACAACTAATTAGTTTGCACACCCATAGGCATAGAGATACACACGCACTCACACACACACACATACAAATGCATACACACACTGTTACCATACAATCATGTTTAAGGTATGAAAATAATAAAATGTATCGATTATCAAGCTTTACTGCTATAATTATAACATAAATGGATATGCTTGCCTAACAGTATTATATGTAGAAGTGAATGTGATGAATGAAAGCATATTCTCGATTAAACAAATACACCATCCTAGTCGGATAATAATAATAATGTTAAATGCATAAACAGTCGGTCTACGCTTATATAGACTTAGTCAAAGAGAAATACTTATTTTTTTAAGTCTAATTCTTCTAAACCCTAGTCAATCATTCAATATCTAATGTATCTTATTACTGATGGTTGCCAATAGATATCATAATTTGAAATGATGACTTTTATGCCTAGTTGTTATGAATAATCCTCATCCAGCCAGATATTAGCGAAAATGAAAAACACGTAGAGGCTCTTTTCGGAGAATTCAATTTTCCTCTTTAGCTGCACAATCTCGTTTTCTATGGAAGAGGGTAGTAACAAAAGTGATGCGTTGTCATAACCACACTGGTTAATATTGGTCAATGCACAAGAGGAGTTTAATAAGTGTACTAGGGTTACTTAATAAGTTGGATAATTTAATGAGTGAGTTGTAGTGGGGACTGACTTAACAATATGTCAACTGTCTGTCTGTCTGTTTTCGACATAGAACTTTGCACATATGTGCGGCAGTTAAAGTCGCCACACTCCCTTCACGTAGCACACAAAGCAAGAGAATAAAGTAGAAGAAATGCATAATATAGACAGTAAACAGAGGTGTGAGACAAGGGAGTAGTAATAACGAACGATTCTGAGCCATGTCACCAATTGTTTCCAACCATTGGTTTTTACCGTCCCGAGGACCCCAACCAGATTGGAAGTCTACACCTTCCTACGTGGCTTAGACTAACTGTCGTAGATTTCATTGACTGGTGCCATGTTTTCGTTTGACCGCCATTAGCTAGCTCTTTTCCAGCCTGACCCTATATCAGCTAACATTGCCCGTCCGTCGAGGAAGGCGATGACTAGGCATACGTAGCACATGTCCTAACCATCTCAGTCGATGTAATTTCACAGCCTCGTCTATTGATTTCCCCGCCTTACCTAGCACTAGACCAATGCCTAACCTCAATATTGCTCACCTTATTATACCACTTCACACGGGAGATAGAACGCAGACACCTATGATCGAAGACAGCTAATCTTTCCATGTCTTCCGCTCTCAATGGCCAGGTTTCACAGTCATAAAGGAGGACTGAGCGGACTGTTGAGCAGTACACACGCCCTTTGGTCGGTAGTTGGATATCACGTCTACGCCAGAGACAGCGTAAACTGGCAACAGTGGTGGTAATTCCAACTTGACGACGAACGTTTTCTCCTTCAAAGTAATCTACAAATTTAAGAATAACCTGCTCTTTTGCATTGCTGAAACTTAAGCCATTCAATTAAAGAAACCAGAGCTATGGATACAAAAGAAAATTATTCAACCACTTCTATCATGGTAACAATCTTGTTGGTTTCTACTGTCCCTAATCCCCAACCCTACAATAAATAGGAAAGAGTACAGACTAGAAAATCCACCCCACAAAGACAACCCCGTGTTCGGTTAAACTTCAAAGCACAGAAAAAAATAGTAACATGGTGATGTGTAAATGGATAAACAATAGATTATCCTTTATTGGTGATATGGTGATCAAGGTCAGCCCGGAAATAAACCAATCAGAATCGACCGACGCAAAATAACTCCCACTATTTTATATATCATGATTATAGACTAATTGACATATCCTTGGTGACTTTTTGTGAAACTATGGCTGACATTGAAATATACTTTCGGCTCACGTCGTAAGTAGGTGGGGCTGGGGATTAGGACAAGGTAGGGTGTCATTAATCTTGACCTAAACGGATATGTTCTGAAAACGAACAAAAATAGAAACCTGGGAAACTGAAATTTTATTTCTGAATAAACTACCAACGTTTCTACATGCATTTAGAGTCACCTTTGCAACAATTGGGATAAATGTGACAATCTGTCCCGAAAGAAGAAGAATTTCAAGCGAAACCAAAAATAAAACAAAGAAAAACAAATGGAAAAGTGAAAGTCTAACATACCTAAATCCCATTCACTGAAACCTGGAGAGTCAGCACTGTGCCAGTGATCACCTATATGACACATTCCTTGTTGACATGATTCACTTCCTGAGTGTTCTAAACTTTCATCAAAGTCTGATTCGGTGAAGGGATTTTGTGATGAGCCGCATACTTTACCATCTGCTCTCCAGTGTCTGTTAGCAAGGACACGCCCACGCCGACGATTAAGCAGATAAGCCTTTAAACGTTGTTTAACCTGAAAGAGAGGGAAAGAGAGAGAGAGGAAGGATTTTGGGTTATGCAAAGAAATGCCTAGGAAACTAACTTTAATAAACTCCACTATAAATAATACTAAGTAAATAGTATACGGAGAGTAAAACATGAAAAGCTTCAGAAATCAGGCTCGGACATTCCACCACAGTCAAAATATCCTAGATGTCGGTGAAGAATTGACGGATTTTAAAGTTGTTTTCATCACAAATCAATAACAATTAGACTGCTACAGAAAATCGAGTAGCACTGAAGAGCTGACAAGTGCCAACCAGCATGAAACCTAAATCGAGCGAGGCTTCCCATCGACTACTCCACACATGCCATATTGCAAACTCAACTGATAAAATTCAGTCTGTACAAACACCAAGGACTAGACACACATGACACTAGTTACTTACTACCTAGTTTCCAATCAAAGTATCCCTAACAGTCCAACAGGAAGATAATCGTGAGTCCGAATAGCCCAGTGGTAACATCTCTGACTGCAGCAATGGGTAACCCAGGTTCAAATCTCAGAAGGGAAATGAGTTGTTCTTTCAAGACTGCAGATACGCTTTTCTGACTGGTAAGTGTCAACAAGCACGAAATCTACGTCGAGTAAGGCTTCCTACCGACTGTCCCTAACTAGCTAACAACAGACAGCTATTAATCCCATTTAAGGACTCTTCAGCAATGCTCACCCAGAACAAAAATGCGAGGGTGGATGATACTAGTAATAGTAGTAATAATAAAGGCAATGTTACCCTCATGACATAATCCTTCATAAATTTTGAGCATACTGTTATTCTACATATTTTATTTCCTATCCTCATTAGCATCTCTTCACTTCACTTCACTAACATTTTACTGTAATTCCAAGTTGCGTTATTTTCGTATTATGTATAGCACACAGTGATACGCTTATTCCCAAATGACAAATAAATTCACCTATCTATCTACCAAAGTATCCAGCTTTCATTGTAACATTACGGATATCATTATTTTATTTTTTTGGAAACAATATTTTTCCATTTTCATTTCTGTTACTATGGTGATGTGAGGTGTTTCAACTTGGTCTGAAAATTACAACTGTGTCTAGCTCCATGGAAATGTGAAAATGTAGGATACATCAAAAAAACAAATGAATATAAAGTATAATTAGTACTTAGCATGCATTAATATTAACATGTGGAAGATCATAGCTAGTGAGAGAAGGCAGACAGTAAAGATAGGACCTTAAGTGAACACAGATAAGACGGAGGTGAGGAAGATACCCCACAACCAACAACAACACCAAGAACTGATCACCCTAAATGGGAGGAATTTCAATGAGATCACTTTCTTCACTTATTTAAGCAGCATCATTCCAACTATAAGCGGTGCGGATGAGGTTGTCGAATGCAGGATCAGAAAAGCAAGAGAGACATTCATTATTCTGAGATCAGTGCGGAAATCTGCTGCAATTAGAAGAGAGAAGATTCGGATTTTCAACACTACCGCCAAGTAAGTCAGTTCTTCTACACATTTCACAGACTAAGCACATCACAGAAAATATTTCCGACAGGTTACTCTGCAGACTTTTATCAACAGCTGCCTTCGCTTGATACTCAAGATCAGTTAGCCGGCCGGAAAGGATTAGCAACAGTGAACTCTAGGAATGAACCCACTAGGAATCTACAGCCCAATAAATATGCCGAACGAAATGGAGATGGATCAGACAAATGCTGAAAAGGCTGATGAGTGATATCACGCACCAGGTCATTGCTCGAGTGGAAACCGAATGGAAAGCAGTGAATTAAGCATCCGAAATTGACATGGAGGAGGTCGTGTGGGGGAGATGACGACTTGTAGATAATCCTAGGGCCACCTAGAGAAAACTGCAGAAAACAGGATGAAATGAAGATGTACTATGGAATCTTTATGTTCCAACCGGCACCAAAGGGAATAATAATATGAGCAGTCCTAATGGCTAGGTTCAACTTTTAAAAAATGTATCGTGTACTCGATACACTAGGTTCATATTTTGCCTTTTATAAGTGTGGATCTTCATTCTACTTGAGGCATAAGCCCCGCGAATAAAGGCATGCCAAAGAAAACCGAAAAGTTATTCATGATCAATAAATATGCCAGTATTCATAGATGAAGGCTACATGGAATGCCAACAAAGCACACACTGGACTACTTTTTGTAGTAAACTTCAGAAAAGAATACGTTTGGATACCAGGAAAAACCTTTCCTGACACAAAAAAAATCTTGTAAAATCCCTAATGCTTTACCTAGACCATTGGCTGCTTGAAAGGGTTGAAGTTTAGTGAACAAGAAAACTGGTAATGGTTTGCAGCCGTATCATAATTCAAATCTTAGTATATCAGATGTATTTTACAATAGCATAACTTCAGTCTAATGTAGAACGAAGCATATATATATATATTTATCGCACTAACCAAAGCACTCTACTCAAATTCACAAGGTCGTGTAAGACCTTACGGAAGGTTGTTGTCTGAAGTGATGAAAACTGGTAGTATTCGTCAGATACGCCCACTATCTCTATTTTCGTTTAATTTCATCAAAAACATGTACTAATGGGATTGACCCTATCTGACCTTAGCGACTTAGGGATTGACTTGTTACCAAGGAACAGTCCTGTTTACCTGGAGTATGCCGATTATATTGTCCTCCTAGATCAAGATACTGGCAAAATGCGGAGTCTTCTGCACACCTTTAGCAAAAGTTTCATTATGTTTGGTATGCCAAGAAACCCTGCCGAATGCGCAACGGTGCCGAAGGGCTGGACTACACCGACTCCTAGCTTAGAGATAGGGAGTGAAGTGGTGGAGCGTGTTGACCACATCATATATTTGGAAGTTGCATCAGCCCCAATGGGCTGATTGCTGGCGAAACCTCAGTTAGGAGACAAAGACTCGTGCAGCACTTGCTAACTTACGCAATCTCTGGTATAGAAGTGACATCCGGTTATCGATCAAAGGACATGTGTACTGCACAGCAGCAGCTCACTCCGTCCTCTTTTATGTCTGTGAGATGTGGCCATTGAAACTGAAAGATATGAGGAAGCCAGATGTCTTTGACTGAAGGCGCTTGCATTCTATATCCCAGGTCAAGTGATATTATATGGTCAGCAATTTGTGAGTTAGGCATAGACTGCTAAGTAAGGAAGGGAAGTCAATCGATGAGGTTGTGAAACTACATTGAGTTAGATGACTGGGATGCGTGTTGCGCATTCTGAGCCAACGTCTTCTTCGTCGAGCAATGTTAGCTGACATAAGTTTGAGATGAAACATATTTAGCAATAGTCAAACCGACAATTGGAATCAATCCATAACGTATTTCACAGTTGGTTTGAGCCAAGTAGAGAGGTGTTGACTTGTAAGTAAGGATATTCTGGATGCTGTGATGAATCAGTGGCTAGCAACTGGTGATGTTATGGCTGAAAACAGTTTACAACCAAGCAAATGTATTCACTCTTTATGATTGCCCAAATTCACTAAACACTCACGGTTTGCCATACTACTATTCTCTCCACCCTCTATTCCTGTTCATAACAGTTTTTTGAATCTCTTTTTCCTTTCTTTTTTCTACCTGTGTACTATATGGAATGTGGTAACTTGAACTGCTTCGCTTCTGTGCACAGTTCTACGTTGAAACTCAATCAGTCAGTTAATGGTGGAGTAACAGAAACCAGAATAAAATTCTAAATGTTTTAATAATAAATTTCGTTCTACCCACAAGAAAGTAAGAATATTTCAAATGAAATATAAATTTTTATTTATGCATCAAGTTAGGAATTCAACGGATGAATTATTTTTGAGCAGGAAACCAAATCTACTAAACCTAAAACATACATCTTCTACTTATACTTATCGTACAGCAGAAACCATATTAGAAACTTGAAAACTAGTGAACTTACTTGAGTTGAAGAAAGACGACCCTCACCACCTTGGTCAAAAGATGCCTGACGTGAAAGAAATGCAGCACGAGATGGGTTTGAAGATGTTGTTGAATACTCGGGAGATGTTCGTGGTAATTGACAACTAAATGTACTTGGCGAACAACCATCAGATGACCTTATAGGTGCATAGGTTCCAGTTGACGCACCTTTTGTAAATGGTGGATGAGCAGCATGATCGCCAGATTTACTGGTTAGTTCTACAAGAGAAGACGTAGATTTCAGAGCTCCAATTCTTCTGTTAGATTCTTTGTGATCCATTCATACACACGATTGATCAAGATGTTTTAAACAGGCACAGAAGTCTTTTTCACCGTGAAAACTATTAAAGACAAAAATGACCAAGTTATTCGTACACTAAACATTTCATATACATATTGACTAATAGAAAAGTTACCATCTCCCTCAATTATCAACAATTAGTGGGACAGTACTTCGTGGAAAATAGACCTACCCTTGATGTTGTTCAGAAGAGTTCGGAAAAAATATGGAGGTAAAAACTAAATGACGTAGATTAGAATCGGTATTATTAGTATGTTAGTGACTCTATCAAAGGAATAAATTTAATTTCAACACGAACACTTAACGTGTTTTATAGTAGTTAGAAAGTCCTAAATAAATTAGTTCAACCGAGTTTGTAAACGTGTATTCTTTAAACTCTTGGTAAGTCAACACTAAGTCCAGGTGAACATGCAAATTGACAATGTACACATAATGGTAGCTTTGTCGACTCAAGATAAAACAAAGAAAATTAGTCAATTCACTTGTATATCAGTCAACAGTATGAAGTCTTACTTGATGACTAAATAATCACAGGGTTATTTAGGTTTATGCTAGATTAAAACCCATATTTATGGTTTCAAGGGGATTATTTTGAAATGTTCTGTTATGGCTACTTGTTTTATTAGTTGACTTTACAGAAATATTAAATTCCAGCCAAGATATCAGATACCGAGTACAAACTATTTCTCAAATTTAATATTTCTTTTCATGCAATAACACAAAATTCAGTAAATGAGGGAGTATTTAACCACTATATATGAAGAAACGATACAGTATGTCAAATAAGATATCTACAGATTATACACAATAAATTCTGAAAAGATTTCGAGTTGCTAGACAAAGACAGACTCAACTAACCTGAGTGGTAATTCCCACGCATATCACTGAAAAATTATCATTAAACAAGGCACCAAATTGTTCACAGGTTGGTAAATCATGAGATAATATTAAGAATCGATTCGCACATTTTTCAAGTCGACGTAAGAACATAAGCGATCAAATTAGGTAATAAGATTATATTCACTTCGCAAAATAACCTACAGGATAAAAATAAAAACAGATTTCAGATTGGCATTAGAAAAACAGGGATATATTGCATTAAAAAGGCAATCAGTAAAAAAAGGAAACTAAGCAAACAAACGTAACGCTCCAATTAATGTTTGTAGCGAAGTGACTACACAATTTACTTGAAATAAATCTGACTTACATTTGCTTACTCCAAGCAAGGCGCCTGTTTCAAGGTCATACCGTGAGGATCTTGTCACACGCTAAAACAAGTAAAGTGGCTACTATGATATGTGCAACTACGCGGTATAAATATAGCGATCAAACGATTTCCGCATTTTGGATTCGTTGATAGTGGGTAATTTTGATTGTAAATGAAGTTAATTCATTATGATTACTGACATTTTTTCTGAGTACATCTAGTGATCTATCCAAAGATTGTCACCAGATGTTAAGTAGTAACTACGAATTTCCTGTAATTTCATATTACTTGATAACTACTGCTTTCCTGGTATCTGCACTGCAAGCCTAATGAGTGGCTGCGTGTCACGTTGTCGTGAAGGGTGGTTTAGACTCATCTCAAGACATCTAACTTCGTGCGGTATGCGAACTGAGAGATACATTGATAAATGCACTTAGAGGGTCCTAACTTTCATCTAAGATGTGTCATTCTGATGACTACTGTAAAGCAATTTTCAAGACAGAGAAGAACTAATGGACACTCTGAAATACGGAAAATACAAGCGGTGTTGCCTGAAGTAACCATATATATCTCGAAAGAACAAAAACAGTACTAAGACAGCGTACCAAAAAGCGACACAGTACTAAACTACACGGCTTTACTGCAATAATGAGGTGTAGCAACCGTTTTAGAATGGTTACAACGCTATAAATTACCGACTGTTTTTTACCGTTACAGTTTGCTCCTTCTTAAACAACCAGAAGTAAAAACCCAGTCTCTGCAATGTTTGTAGAACTTCTCTTGAACTGACTTTTCAAATAACTAGCCACCGGTTTACTGACTAAGGTAAAGTTATCGGTGCGCTTTACTTCTGGGAGGTGTTCTTTCTGTGAAACCAATACGTCTTTCTCTACTTGTCTATTGGCCACCTTGTCTGAAAGAGAAAAGAAGAGCTGAAAACTTTGACGAGAATAAATATTTATTGAAAATAGCTGTTAAATACACATAGACATTCGCACTGAAAAATGAAGTAAGGGATGCCGAGTAAAAACACGTTTGTTTAGAAAATGCTGCACAGGGAGATGTAGAAATGTTTCCGGAAAATATCACTTTCTCTACGCAGAAGTTATAGAAATGAACGAAGAGAAAGCACTTCTTCAGACAGACTGCAACGTAAAATTATTAACAATAACTTATATTTCGTATAAACAGGTAAGTTTGCATGAAATGCTTGGCATTTTTACAGGCACGATCAAGCATGATATAAATTAAAATCGGAAAATATCAGTAAGTCAATATTATATCAGTGAGTTATAATACAAGCAGTCACAACAAGTCCATATGAATGTTAAACAAATACTTGAAGATGTTTCGAGAACTTCTTAGTGACTAAATCGGGTATAAAAATAACTACCCAGTCTAATGATCGATTACGCGTATAGGATAAGAAGACAGTGGCAACTTACCTAACCACCTCGGTTGGAACATCTGCCTCATAAGCAATGTCTGTCACAGCCTTCAGCACTAGGGGATATTCTCTCATTAGCTTGTTATTTGAGACGATGGCGCAATTCGATGTGGAATTATCTATTACCAGACGATCGGTTTGCCCTCAAAAGTCTGTTGTTGTGGAAGATAGGCATCTGAAACCACGGGGCATTCCGTGACAGTTGACAGAGGCGAGTAAAAATATGCGTACATCCATCTGATTGTGGGACAAATACATCCAGATTTAGGCAGACATGAACGAAACTTAACATTAGGTAACAAAAAGGTAGAAGAATAACTTCTCCTATGGTGTGTTGCCCTGCACATTTATCGAGCTATCTAGGTTTGCATAGTTTAGATAACTTTCTGAATTATGCCACACAAGGTTAATTAACATGTGGTCTGGATGCCTGAACTAGAGGTATCTTGCAACATATTGAAGACGTCACGGCAGTAACCTTTAGGTACTATATGATGGGCTTCTTAGTCCTTGTTAAGACTACGTAGTGAATTTATTCTGATTTATGGTCTGCAGCAGTCGAATCAACTTCCCAGATCACTGCAAGCGCGAAGGCCGTTTAAATTTTTCATTTCTATCACTGGATGAAATATGATACTGACAAGTTCAACATTATCAGTGTGTTGTTTTATTGGCTGGTCATTCCTTTTCGTGGACTGGTCTGGTATTTGGACCATTAGGTGTTTCAGCTTTTTGCATGCTTTAGTGCATTCAATTCCTTTTATTCCATTAAAGATCTACTGCGCCTAATTGGTGTCTGTTTAAACAGCTTTCACAGATTTTTGGAAAAAAGCAATTTAATTGTGCAGTTGGGATCATCATATATTGTGGTGGTTTGACATTTCATTATAAAATAAACTGTCTTATTAGTCACTGGATATAATTCTAATTCTCATTATGAAGCTTCAAGTTTTAAATCGTGAAAATTCTCCAAAAAATCTGAAGAACGGTTAAATAGTTCTATCAGCGCTTAAAAGGACACTAAATCCTGATGTTGCAGTTAAACGTGATACTTCATCATTATACTGATATGTAAAGGCATATATTTACAGTATTTCCACTGATGTATCCACAATGAATGGTTTTTCTTTTGTAGATTAATCCTGGAGACATTTTGCTTGAATGATCTCAAAATTATTTCCACTCTCAAATGAACAATAAGTGCGTCGGTGGCACAGTGGTTAGGACTCTCGCCGACCATGCACATGGTCCGAGGTTCCAACCCCTGCCGACGTACACCCAATATCTATGGTCGGCCTGCAAAATTTGGGCTACCGATATCACATGCTGAAAATTCCATACTTGTAATGAAAATACGGCGTGGCATCAAGCTGTAATCAAAATGAGTAATATATATTTCCTATCTGTGTAGGACACACCAGTTGTACAGGCATGGATAAGTATTATTTAAATTACATAAAAAATAATAGAAAAATTAGCTCCTAAAGTGCACATGATTAGTGTTGATAGGTAATTAGTAGGATCTATGCGCATTGTGGACGAACTAGAATCTCAATTTGTTTTTTTAATGTGTCTGAGCAACCTGGCAACTTGTCCCTTGCCACCAATCTTTTCTCCCTTTAAGATCATATATGATCTTTTCAGAAGATCAATAATTTCATGTGTTAATATTGTTGAATTACGAATCACACCATTTCAGCAACATCAATGGCACTACCTCGTGTACCTAGTTGACACATACATTACCATACTGTCACGTATTTCCACATTTGGTCCTTATCACAATATGTTTGCAACTACAACCCTTGGACTCTACTGCGATAGCTCGTCATCATTTTACAAAGTGTGTCCACCGCTACTGTTCCCACGCTTTAAAGAATTTTAACTGGCGGTAAGGATCCACTATGAAAATCAACCAACAACCAAATTTGACGTACCAACAGAAAAGTAAACTAGTAGGAGTCAGCCTAAAGAAAAGCAACTGACAGCTGTCTGTAGCTAGCTTCTCATCAGACGCGTAAAATTATTTTCGATGGTGTGTCGGAAAAAATCGAGCAGCTTCACTTCTACTTAACCTTGTTGAACGTTTACAGTTACACCATATCGCAACAAGTGGAGTGCCAAGTTCAAAAGCTGTTTTTGACTTCCCTTATCTGAACTTGCTATGGTACCGTCATCCAAAGAAGCATGTGGGGAGCTTAGTTCCCAGAATACGTCACCAAAGTATCATTGGAATGTTTGCTTTACATTGTGAAGATGAAATAACACATGTAGGAATTCGAAGGGAGGTATTAATGGCTGTCCTTGGAATGTTTTCCAGTGAAA